AAAAAAAAAAAAAAAAAAAAAAAAAAAAAAAAGTTCACACAAACACTTGAAAAATATCTGGGTAATTAATTGAGAACTGCAATCTCATTGAAAATCAATTTCCAACTGCAAAACCTTACGTGAAGTTCAGAAGTTCAAAATTGTTGTGCTCCATTTGTAATTGGTTCATTTGTTGTCCATCTAATACATGTCTAGAATATATATATATATATATATATATATATATATCATAAAAACGTGAGAATCTAACCACATAAAAAATAGTAAATATTAAAATTACTCGAACGATTATATAAAGTGTCAAAATATGATTAGAGAGAAAACAATAAAACAGAAAAATGAAACAACAGATTCGAACTCAAATTTACTCTCCCTACAAATTTCCACTCACCGTGCTGTTATTTCTCTCGATATTTTTCTTCCAACACTGATGCTTCCCACACTGGCACTGACTCCTCTTCTTCTTCGACCCCAACTCATCCTCCTCCTCTTTCCCATCCTCCTCCACTTGATCATTTTTCCCCACAACACAAGTACTTCTACTCGTCGCCATTGAAACCGACCTCCCTAGCTCCTTCACCCCTTCACTCTTCTCAATCAAATTCCTCTCCAACATTCCCTTCCCCAGCCCATCATCCTTATTACTCTTCAGCCACAACTCTCTCATTCTCTCCCTAACCTCACAACCCCTCTCCTCATGCAACCCCCCGCAAAACCCGCACTTCACCGAGGCATTTCTTCGAACATTTCGTATGCTCTTCACTTGCTCAAAACAGAAAGCTAACCTCAGCGCCTTGTTCAAAGAACCCGGCTTCTGTGGGGCCATCCACTCCTGAAAATCACCCCTCAAACCGTCAACAAAAACCCCTTTGAGTAGATCATCACTCAGACCATGTTCCGGCCATTTTTTCAAAATCCATTGCAGCCTCAAGAAGTAGGACCGCACAGATTCCGCGTCGCCTTGGTTAATCGTCATGAGTTGGGACCTTAATTGCTCCGTCAATTCGATCTTACCGTACGCATGATAAAACGAAGATTTTATCTCTTCCCAACTCAGTTCTTCGTACGGCTCTACATTCAGATCGTACCAAAGAGCGGCCTCGTCCTCTAAAGTGACGGGGAAAATCTTCATCATCATGTCGATGGACGAAACGTTGTTTGCTCGGCAAACTTTCGCGAACCGGCTCAGGTGGGCAAAAGGGCACTCCTCAGAACCGCCGCGGAAGATCGGAAACTGGGCGATGTTCATGTACGAATTGTAACCCGTTTGGGAAACGGGTTGTTGCGGAAGATGTAATATAGGACTGTGCGACGCTGAACACGACTTCTTACGAGCGTTGATTCTCTCCGAAACGGAGGAGAACTGGTCCGAGAGCGGGTTAGTCGCAGAATCCGTCGGGGCATCGGAGGCGTCGTCGTTGTCATCGTCGTCATTTTCGGGCTGATCGAACTCAGTACTGTCGTTCGGGGATCGAACAACGGTGGTGTAATCATCGTCGTAAGTGCTGCTGTAGTCTTGGGGAGTAGGGGTTCTGCGATGATATTGTTTGCGTCGTGAAGAACGGCCGGCAGTCGAGTGGAACCAAGTCATATTAATATTTGTAATGGTAGTTTGCTTTTGAAAGGAGGATCTGAAAAACAGATTTTTTTTGTGCTGAATTCACGTATGCAGTTCTTGCTTGTCTTAGAAAGGGAATTATATTCTGGTTTGGGAAAAGAGAAATCGAAGTAACTGCCTGTTTTTTATTTTTATTTTTTGATGATGAAACTGCCGGTTCAAGTTCAATACTGAGAAGGCCATAAATTGAATGGTGACGCTTCGGATTTGGGAATGGGAATCTCTCCCGTGAGAATCCGACGGTAATTTGTGGATAAATTTAAAAGTTCCCGTCAAAATATAGTAAACTTCTTAGCTTTGTTTTTAAATTCCAAAACCTACTATATTAAATGTTAACAAAAATTTAAAGAAAAAATGTAGCGAAAATATCCTTTTTTTTTTCATCTAATTCTATTAAAAAATTGAATGGGAAAACTGATGTGAGAGTAAACAAGATTAAAAAAATAATAAAAACATCAATTATTGTTGAGTGGATACTTAGAAAGATTGAAATTCTAATTTGAGTTGAAATCTCTAATTATATATCCAAGCAATTATTGATAAAAAAAAAAAAAAAAAAAAAAAAAACTCTTTAAATAAAAGAGGATAGAAAGTCAAACGAACGCCCAAAATTATTCTAATTTTTAAATTTGATAATATAAGGGATTATATTATTTTGCTCCTATAACTCAAAATGACACAAAATTAATTCCTTAAGCGCTTTATACTAAGTTACAACTTTAATATACTGATCAAGAACACCCAACAAGTTAATGACTCTCATACTTCAAGTGTTCTCGAAAAAAAAGTACTTGCATACATAGATACATTCAACCATGTTTCAATAACAAAAGATCTTCCAAAAAAAAAAAAAAAAACGCACACACACACAAGGGAAGTAAAAGAAAAAAAAAAGAAATAAACAAATAGTAAAACAATTATTACACGTATTATTGTCACATTATAGAGCAACCATGAGGGTTTTCATCACTAAATGCAGCAGCAGTTTGATGGGCAAAGATGGCAGAACTGGATCTCCCAGCAGGATTGTAGTTGTAAGTACTCATGTGATCGTAAGTGTTACTATAACCGTGTTTGTAGTAGTTGTAGGACGAAGCAGGCTGGGGAGCGTAGTGAGTAACCGGGCCATTGCAATGGTGTTGGTAATAATAGGGGTTTGTGAAGCTTTCGTACTCATGAGGATTGTAAGGCATTTGCCACAGCTCGGCTCTCCTCCCGGTCTTCCTCACCGCCTTCAGAACCTTCTTTTGGTCCGCGTATCCAGTGACTGTCACTTTTTGCAAGTTCATATCTATGTCAATATCATCCACTCCTGATCAGAAAAGAGTAGAAAAATTATAATTGTAGTTTTGGAAACAAATATATATATGTGCTTAGATATATATATGACATGTGTTGCATGTTTTGTATACCTTTTAGTTTTTGAAGTGCACTTTTGACCTTGCCTTGACATCCAGCGCAGTCCATGTGTACTCTCATCTCTATGATCTGAGATATGAAATCACAAACGGTATCATATATATGCATGTTATAAATTCATGAATATTTCATTCATTTAAATCAGTTATGGTGCATATATACATATGTGTATATATATGTGCGCGCGCGTGTGCAAACCAAGTTTATGTTTGAAAATGTTAAAAACATTTTTGCGGCAAAAAAGAAGATAAAAGAAAAGAGCATGATAATGACCAAAAATAGAACAAAAAAGAGAAAGAGAAGAGAGGCCTCTTACCGTCATTGTGACTGTCCAAACTTATTATAGAAGGATGTGTTAATAAGATGTTTTCTGAGATTGTAGTGTTTGTCAGGATTTCACAGTATGAAATATGACCAGGAAAAATATAACATATATGTAGACCTTTTCTCTCACAGTATACTTTTTTTTTCTTAATATCTTGGGGTGCATTATTTGTGAATTTTATGCACCGACTTGTACTCTTAACTGTCTTCCAAATGACAGAAATGGATCCATATTAGTATATTTATTTGTTTCATATTCACCCTAAACCAATAGAAACCGTCCACCTGTATATTCTCCATTATAGAAATCCCCCAATAATATTGTTTTAATTTTTCTCCATGGGCGTCCATACCTACGGCTCTTTGGTTTGATCAATATGGGCGTTGACTTTTATTTAATACCTTAACAGCTTCGTAATAACTGAAAACTAATAAAACTTTTTTTAAAAAAAAAAAAAAAAACTAAAAGAAGATGGGAGAAAAAGAAAGCAGAATCCAACTTTGCATAAATCGCGTTCTGATAAGCTGGGGGTACTTACAGAGTGGATATATATATATATATATTTTTTTTTTAATCACTTTTTAATTTTATTTTTTTCCTGATAATCAAAAACTCTGATTTATTTTTTTTTTTTGAAAGTGGAAAACTCTATGATTGATCCATTAAAAAAAATATATAAAAAAAGTCTATGATTGATTTAGAGTTGGACCGTTGGAGCGGGGTATGGGAGTTGAGAAAACACGCACATGGTAGCTACCTTACCGGATCATGTTAAGTGGCTTTCGGTGCTTCTGTCTTCAATCCAAAGGAATAGCCCGTAGCTTTCTCCATATTACTAGGTAGTTAATCTAAAAAAATGATAAAAAAATTTTATTTGATGTTCGAATTAAATAACCAAAGTTAGCAATTAAGTTCTGAGCCAGAATACTATCAATGAATTTGTGTAATGGTAATGATGTCTTTTCTTATTCTTTTCTTAAAATGTGGTCAGGGTTAGATACTCTATCATCATAGATTTTAGAATTTATATCCGATCAATGTGTTGCCCATTGTTCAGAATGTGTTAAAAAAGCAAAAATTTAGTCCATCTTTTGAGTAGAATTCAGCAGATTCTTTTTATTTTCATTGATGGTCCTGAAATTTTTTAAAATGATAAATGAAAGAGAGCGAAATGACGCCAATTATGCTGTTTTTTCTTATAATAAACGATGAAGAGTTCTAACCCATAATTATTTATGAAATGGGAGAGTATAACGGATAATTCCAACTGAGCATTAGTACTGATCTGCATGCGGCAAATTGGTTTGCTCTTCTTGACAAGGTTAGTCATTGGTACCTCGGATATGGATGCTTGGTGGAAATGTAAAATGTGTAATAAAAGAAAGAAAGGGGAATAAAAATGAAAAGAAAAGATCCAAGTATTATTAGAAAGATATGAGACCGAAAATATTAACTCTTTCTTTCGACTACAGGCTCATTGAAGAGGGATATATAAAACACAATGAAATCCAGGAATATTCGTCACAATTTTTTCTCCCCACTTAATTGGTTTGGCTTTTGATTATTTTAATAATTATTATTTATTATTATATTTCTCTCTTTTAAAATTTTTCGTCTGATTTTCTAAATAAACTTAATACTTCGATCAATTTTTTAGACATTTTTAATTTATTTACAGAAGGGGCACATCATCAGAAAGCTCAAAACTAATGAGATAACATGAAGGCTTTATGTTCCAAAAAGAAAAAGGATCCTTGTACGGTAGGCTCATCTTATTCATAGTGTTTATTTCTTATCATTAAATTTAATTAAAATCACATTAAAATAAAAAAAAATATGCAGAAGAGAATTTCTAAAACAAATCTAACAATCAAAGATAAAGAATTATTAATAATTCATTTTTTTAAAAACCTATCACAGAAATCTGCACAAAAAAAAAAAAAAAAAAAAAAAAACCAAAAACATTTATGTCTCT